AAAAAAAAAAAAAAAAAAAAAAAAAAAAAGAAATTGTTATGACAAAAAGACAAAGACATACAATCAACCACCAACCTAAGTGTCCACCAACAGATGGTTAAAGAAAATGTGGTATGCATATACCATTGAATACTATGTAGCCATAAAAATAATGAAATCATGTCTTTTGCAGCAACATGGATGGAGCTGGGGCCATTATCCTAAGTGAAATAACTCAGAAGCAGAAAATCAAATACCACATGTTCTCACTTATAAGTGGAAGCTAAACACTGGGTACACGTGGACATAGAGGGGAATAATAGACACTGGGGACTACAAAAGTGGGGAGGATGGGAAGGGAAGGGTGAGGGTTGAAAAATTAACTATTGGGTACAATGTTCACTGTTTGGGTGATGGGTACACTAGAAGCCCAGATCTCACCACTGCATGATGTATCTATGTAATAAACCTACACACATACACGCTGAATCTCGGTATACAAAAAGAAAGCATAAAAAAAAATCCAAATAATATTTCAAATGTTTATAGGCTATGGTCCATTTCTAGGCATAGCTAGCCTTCCTTCAGTATTCCAAACTATTCATACTGTATTGTAATGGCTTAGTTTTCCATATGTGTATGTTTTAGTTATATAACTGGATTGAAAGCTAGTTGTGTGGTCCTAGATAAATTATTGAATTTTGCTGAGCCCAATTTCTTTATCTGCAAATTAGAGATAATACTTTGCAGGGTTGTAGTGAGGATTAGAAATAATATGTCCAAGGTGAGTTTAATTAAAAGCAGTTTTTTTTTTGACTTTTGGCTTTAGCAGTCTATGCACATAGCAGGTGTTTGTATTTTTATAATATTCCAAATGAATGAATATCCTAGCATCACACTCAATTTAGATATTTATTGAGCATCTATGACACATAAAGCACTGTTTATAACCAAAGTCCTGGTGAGCCTATATTATTCAGGTATGTTTCCTACATAAACCACATGCTGCTCTTCAACTTTAGCAATTTTCTTAGTCATCTGTTTCCTCAGTCTCTTAACACATTGCCTGGCCCATCATAGTAGGTGCTGAATAAATGTGTGAGCTGAGTGGAATAATTTTGTAGGAAAAGAGAAACACACAAATTGGATAAAACCTGGCAGGCTATAATGAAAACGATTAACAGATACAAAGGACTTTGTACAATGGGAGATCAGGAGTCATTAATTGTGATGAAGGTATTTGGGAATGCCCTGAGGAGTAGGTGTGGATAACCCCCGACATGGGCACGGAGGAAGGAGAGCTGTGCAAACCCCAGGCACCATTAGTGCCTGAAGAATATCTTAGTTTATAGTGTTATTACTCAGCTGTTTCCTTTATATAATCCTTTATATATAATCATATATTAGTTTATAGAATTAGTGCCTGAAATATAACTTACTGCTTACATATATCTAGCTTATATAATCATACTTAGTCTTATATCTAGCATACTTAGTTCCATAAATTTTTCTATATAATCATATAGGTATTGTAGTTGGAGCTGTACTGACACATTATTACTGATTTATATAATCCTTCCATATAACCATATAGTAGTTTATAGTAGGAGGAATGCCTAGCACAGTCACAGAACAGAAGCAGTACATGGGAAAACAGCCAGACCAGGACAAGAACCAAAGACCCAAGGGGTGGCGTCCCTGCCTGAAAGGCATACGCTGTATGGCAAGCTTGGAGCAAGAACCACTCCTCCTGATAAAGGAGTTGTAATACCTTGCATCCAGTTACTGTGGAAAGTAGGCCTCAGGCCTGAGATCCGGCAAATAACGGAGGGAGAAGAACCCCTCTGGTGTGACCAGTCATGGCAGCTGTATACCCTGTCAGTCTTTTCTCTCTTCTGTGCTAGCTCAAATCATTCTCCCATAAATTTTTTTTTTTTTTTTTTTTTT